ACTACTACTACTACTACTACTACTACTACTACTACTACTACTACTACTACTACTACTACTACTACTACTACTACTACTACTACTACTACTACTACTACTACTACTACTACTACTACTACTACTACTACTACTACTACTACTACTACTACTACTACTACTACTACTACTACTACTACTACTACTACTACTACTACTACTACTACTACTACTACTACTACTACTACTACTACTACTACTACTACTACTACTACTACTACTACTACTACTACTACTACTACTACTACTACTACTACTACTACTACTACTACTACTACTACTACTACTACTACTACTACTACTACTACTACTACTACTACTACTACTACTACTACTACTACTACTACTACTACTACTACTACTACTACTACTACTACTACTACTACTACTACTACTACTACTACTACTACTACTACTACTACTACTACTACTACTACTACTACTACTACTACTACTACTACTACTACTACTACTACTACTACTACTACTACTACTACTACTACTACTACTACTACTACTACTACTACTACTACTACTACTACTACTACTACTACTACTACTACTACTACTACTACTACTACTACTACTACTACTACTACTACTACTACTACTACTACTACTACTACTACTACTACTACTACTACTACTACTACTACTACTACTACTACTACTACTACTACTACTACTACTACTACTACTACTACTACTACTACTACTACTACTACTACTACTACTACTACTACTACTACTACTACTACTACTACTACTACTACTACTACTACTGACCAAGCCACTTTTACGGGCAAAAAAATACCATGGTAAGCACACAAGTGATGGAAAAGAGTGAGTAAGAACGAAAGAGAGAAAGAAAGAGAGAATGCACTAGTATGTCAAGAGAAGTAATCAATTGTTAAGGTCTGTGAGCTATTGTTATATTGTCCAGATTGACGCATGGACACTGAATCTCAGCCGGCAGCCTGTCGACACTGCACCAACAACGACGAGCGGACGCGACGCTGGTAGGATGATCGGCAACCGCGAAAGCAGGTTATTGCCCACCGTACGAGGCAGAATGCCAGCCGAACACGCAATGCACTGACGATGCTTGAATACCGGATGTCTTTATTGCGCTCCGCGAGCCGACCGGCAAGTGTCGCCAGGAATCGTGAGCACTCCGGCCCCGCCATTCCATTCGTGGCGAACACAAGAGGGGTGAAAGAGCCTCTCTCGACTTCAGTGACCCTGGCACCGTACTGCTGCTTCTTTTGCCGTTCATGGGCCCTGAGTTGGTTAAGGACTTCTGGACCAGACAGCACAGACGCCTTAGGGTGGGTTACCCTAACATCAAAATAAGCGTCTTGCTGCCTTGTCCAGAAGCCCCGGGCACGAATGTCCAGCCGAGCCTCATCAGTCCGGTTAGCCGTCGCATAGGGCAGATCCTCGCCAGACAGCGGCCGGAGACGTGGCTCTGTCTCGACATCGCGAACAGCTTCGGAGAGCGTCTCCGCCAGGATGTCACGCACATTATCGTGCCGGGCAGATGGATACCCGCCGGCGGGGCAGGTTAGCAAATGGTCCATCGTGGAGGCATCACCACAGACACAAGTGGACGGTAGCCCAGGGAGCTGCAGACCATACCGTAGAGCAAGTGCATCACGGAAGTCACTGGCATTCAAGACGGTGCCGTGCGCCAGACGAGGCTCCGCCGTAAGCCAGGAAGACACACCGGCAGAGCCGGCAACGTCCATCAAAAGCTGCTGTGTGGCGGATAGATGATCCTGCAGACCGGCCAAAGATGCTTTGCCAGCCCGACGCCTTGATTGTACAGCAGCCCGCCGTGCGCCTTCCGCCTCCTGGAGCGCCTCCGCCATCTCCCGTAGGCCAGACGAACCACCACCATCCGCCCCGCCATCAGCAGCTGATCCCACACGACCAGTCTCAGGCACGTCCGGGAACCTGTATAGCCCCCGCACTGGCCGAGTCGTCTTAACTGTATCAGTGTACATTACCGTGGCAGTGTCCGCCAACATCGGGATGGCTATGCCGCCACACTTGGAAGGTGCCGACATCAATCTGCGCAAGGCGCTCCCGGAGGCAATTGGCTGACCCAACAGCGGAGGCAAAAGATGATTATCCACTGCACTGTCGAGAGGCGCCATGGTTTCGCCGGAGCAGAGCGAAGCACGCATGAGATATCTCCACTTGGGGACCAGCCCTCTCACTGCGGCTGTATACGCAGCATGTGGCTGGGTCTCCGCAAAATCACCACACCGGCGGACCTGGCGGGAAAAGCGACCGACCTCCGCAGCCAGGTGTTGACTGCAGTACTCGGGTGTCCCGATCGGTGCACCCAGGTACTTGGACCCCTCACCAGTGATTATGACACCCGTGCCATCAAACACGGTATTGGCTTGCTCCAACAGATGGTTCTTGACCACCAGCACAGTCTTTTGAGCATTTGGATTGTAGCCATAGCGTGGTCCGAGAGCTGCGATCGTGTCCCAGTAGCCGCGAAGACGAAGCAGCCTCCCAAGGGCAGCATCATCATCTGCATACCACAACTGGAAGGTGTCTGGGTGCAGATGAGCCAGGCGGCGGACAAGCGGGGTAATGGCCAGGGCGTAAATGGCCATGGCGAGAGGGTCACCCTGACATGTGCCCTCTGTTGAATGTAGTTCGCCAGAGCCGGTCACGAACAAACGCACGCGATCCGTATGGGTATTGCTAGCGAACGTTGCCAGTGCTGGGCAAAGACGCCGAATGTTGTGGAGTGCAGCCTTACGATTGACGGAATTGAACGCATTTGATGCGTCAACTAACAGGATTCCTTCCGTGCTGGGGTTATTGAACCCTTCACGCATAGCGTGGACACAAGTCTCGCAGGCGGATGGGATTCCAACGCATAATTGGGAAGGTGCAACAACGTCCATAACATCGCTCTCCACCACTCGCATGACTGCCCTGGCGATGATGCGGCGATGGACCTCGCCGACCGCAATGGGACGCACACCAGGACGCTTGTCGAGGGCAATCAACCGGGCTGCAGTGAACGCCTCGAGATCCCTCCCGCCGACACTGTCCGTGCATATCCTGCGTGCGGCTTCTGCAAGTACACTACACAGCTGGTCAGAGGCAGCCGCGTAGCAGGTCAGCATCGCTCGCCATCCATCAGCGTCCACCCCGGATGGACCTGACGAGCCCTTGATCGAGCGAGCAATCTTCTTGATTAAATCAGCGGTGATGGCCGCGAATAGCACGGTACGGACGGGCTCGGGCTCGCCTTCCAGGAGCACATCAGGGTCTGGATCTGCCCCAGCTGGATGTTTCTGCCGCAGGATATCGTCGACCGTTTCCCCCGTGGCCGGATCGGCGATGTCGTCAAGTCTCAAAACACCCGGACTCTTAGATTCCGACAGGCAGCGGATGGCGGAGTTGATGTTGCCGCTGAACACGTGTCGGCTGAAGTCAGTGTCGGTATGACCCCGCTCGGAGCGTGCGCTGGTGACCCGTCGTGGCCGGAGATGAGCCTGGATACACCTGGCGTCAAGGAGTAGGTCCTCCAATTTCCCTGCTTTCCACAACTCGAGCCTGGATCGCAGGATGGTAGCGTTCTCCCCACCTCGAGACGATCCGAGAGGCTTTTGGAGGAGCAAATGGCAGGCAATAGTGAGTACTGTCCAGGCTATGCCACTCAAGGGTGTATCCAAGTTGAAGAATGATATAATATTGGCTATCTCCATGACAAACTCGCGCCCTGCAGATCCAAGTGGAAGCATAAATATGTTTCGTTTCCAGTGAACAACTTCGTCAAACAATGTCCTGACAATGTCGTACTCCCGCTCGTTCCCGACAGACCTGTTTCGTTTCCAGTGAACAACTTCGTCAAACAATGTCCTGACAATGTCGTACTCCCGCTCGTTCCCGACAGACCAGGGCCCGCAACTACTCCGACCACCACTACTACTACTACTACTACTACTACTACTACTACTACTACCACTACCACTACTACTACTACCACTACTACTACTACCACTACCACTACTACTACTACTACTACTACTACTACTACTACTACTACTACTACTACTACTACTACTACTACTACTACTACTACTACTACTACTACTACTACTACTACTACTACTACTACTACTACTACTACTACTACTACTACTACTACTACTACTACTACTACTACTACTACTACTACTACTACTACTACTACTACTACTACTACTACTACTACTACTACTACTACTACTACTACTACTACTACTACTACTACTACTACTACTACTACTACTACTACTACTACTACTACTACTACTACTACTACTACTACTACTACTACTACTACTACTACTACTACTACTACTACTACTACTACTACTACTACTACTACTACTACTACTACTACTACTACTACTACTACTACTACTACTACTACTACTACTACTACTACTACTACTACTACTACTACTACTACTACTACTACTACTACTACTACTACTACTACTACTACTACTACTACTACTACTACTACTACTACTACTACTACTACTACTACTACTACTACTACTACTACTACTACTACTACTACTACTACTACTACTACTACTACTACTACTACTACTACTACTACTACTACTACTACTACTACTACTACTACTACTACTACTACTACTACTACTACTACTACTACTACTACTACTACTACTACTACTACTACTACTACTACTACTACTACTACTACTACTACTACTACTACTACTACTACTACTACTACTACTACTACTACTACTACTACTACTACTACTACTACTACTACTACTACTACTACTACTACTACTACTACTACTACTACTACTACTACTACTACTACTACTACTACTACTACTACTACTACTACTACTACTACTACTACTACTACTACTACTACTACTACTACTACTACTACTACTACTACTACTACTACTACTACTACTACTACTACTACTACTACTACTACTACTACTACTACTACTACTACTACTACTACTACTACTACTACTACTACTACTACTACTACTACTACTACTACTACTACTACTACTACTACTACTACTACTACTACTACTACTACTACTACTACTACTACTACTACTACTACTACTACTACTACTACTACTACTACTACTACTACTACTACTACTACTACTACTACTACTACTACTACTACTACTACTACTACTACTACTACTACTACTACTACTACTACTACTACTACTACTACTACTACTACTACTACTACTACTACTACTACTACTACTACTACTACTACTACTACTACTACTACTACTACTACTACTACTACTACTACTACTACTACTACTACTACTACTACTACTACTACTACTACTACTACTACTACTACTACTACTACTACTACTACTACTACTACTACTACTACTACTACTACTACTACTACTACTACTACTACTACTACTACTACTACTACTACTACTACTACTACTACTACTACTACTACTACTACTACTACTACTACTACTACTACTACTACTACTACTACTACTACTACTACTACTACTACTACTACTACTACTACTACTACTACTACTACTACTACTACTACTACTACTACTACTACTACTACTACTACTACTACTACTACTACTACTACTACTACTACTACTACTACTACTACTACTACTACTACTACTACTACTACTACTACTACTACTACTACTACTACTACTACTACTACTACTACTACTACTACTACTACTACTACTACTACTACTACTACTACTACTACTACTACTACTACTACTACTACTACTACTACTACTACTACTACTACTACTACTACTACTACTACTACTACTACTACTACTACTACTACTACTACTACTACTACTACTACTACTACTACTACTACTACTACTACTACTACTACTACTACTACTACTACTACTACTACTACTACTACTACTACTACTACTACTACTACTACTACTACTACTACTACTACTACTACTACTACTACTACTACTACTACTACTACTACTACTACTACTACTACTACTACTACTACTACTACTACTACTACTACTACTACTACTACTACTACTACTACTACTACTACTACTACTACTACTACTACTACTACTACTACTACTACTACTACTACTACTACTACTACTACTACTACTACTACTACTACTACTACTACTACTACTACTACTACTACTACTACTACTACTACTACTACTACTACTACTACTACTACTACTACTACTACTACTACTACTACTACTACTACTACTACTACTACTACTACTACTACTACTACTACTACTACTACTACTACTACTACTACTACTACTACTACTACTACTACTACTACTACTACTACTACTACTACTACTACTACTACTACTACTACTACTACTACTACTACTACTACTACTACTACTACTACTACTACTACTACTACTACTACTACTACTACTACTACTACTACTACTACTACTACTACTACTACTACTACTACTACTACTACTACTACTACTACTACTACTACTACTACTACTACTACTACTACTACTACTACTACTACTACTACTACTACTACTACTACTACTACTACTACTACTACTACTACTACTACTACTACTACTACTACTACTACTACTACTACTACTACTACTACTACTACTACTACTACTACTACTACTACTACTACTACTACTACTACTACTACTACTACTACTACTACTACTACTACTACTACTACTACTACTACTACTACTACTACTACTACTACTACTACTACTACTACTACTACTACTACTACTACTACTACTACTACTACTACTACTACTACTACTACTACTACTACTACTACTACTACTACTACTACTACTACTACTACTACTACTACTACTACTACTACTACTACTACTACTACTACTACTACTACTACTACTACTACTACTACTACTACTACTACTACTACTACTACTACTACTACTACTACTACTACTACTACTACTACTACTACTACTACTACTACTACTACTACTACTACTACTACTACTACTACTACTACTACTACTACTACTACTACTACTACTACTACTACTACTACTACTACTACTACTACTACTACTACTACTACTACTACTACTACTACTACTACTACTACTACTACTACTACTACTACTACTACTACTACTACTACTACTACTACTACTACTACTACTACTACTACTACTACTACTACTACTACTACTACTACTACTACTACTACTACTACTACTACTACTACTACTACTACTACTACTACTACTACTACTACTACTACTACTACTACTACTACTACTACTACTACTACTACTACTACTACTACTACTACTACTACTACTACTACTACTACTACTACTACTACTACTACTACTA